AAAAAAAAAAAAAAAAGAAGATGAAGGTGGTCTTCTCCAGAAGAAGTTTGCATATATGGCCCTGAAACGTTAAGATAGAGCAAAGAATGACAATTAACTCCTAATTTGCTGTTGCCTTTTCTCCTAAAGTCAGTCCTCTCTAGAATTTGCCAAGGAATCAGATTGCTTGAAGGCTGCTTAAGAACTAATTACCCTGAATTCTATGAGCTTGTAGATAGTCTGTCTTTTGCTTGAAAGACCTGGAGTTGTTGCCAGGCAAATAACCCCAGGCAAAGCTGGCTTCTTTTAACGTAGCTTTTCTAGCTTCCCTTTAATCTTTACCAAGTAAAGGACAGTACATCAAGGAGTAAAAGCAGCTTTATTATCTCTCCCAATGTTAACTTATCGAACCCCTTAAAAGTCTAGGAACAGAAAATAGGCTTGGTTCTATAATACAAGGGAGAATTGTCTTGTCTGTTCCATACTTTGGAATGAACTTTCTGGGACATCTGGGAAAATCATTTTACTTCCTGGGATTCATAAAGAAAGGGGGTCTGTGAATTGGTGCTCAGTGAGGGACAGAGTGGTATCCTACTTTCTTTACCTAGCCCAGTGCTCCACCATCAGGACCCAAACCCATTCCCTCTCCCATTAGGTTACCACTTTCTCTTGCCAACCTTATGCCTGCTAATTCCCATTCTGCACACTTTCTTCTTACTGCCCTCTTTAACATTTTATTTTCCAAAGTCACCCTCTGCATTGCTACTTCTTCCCAGCTCTCAGGACTCACCAGCAAGCTGCTTCCCATACAATACATTCCTTACAGGCTTTTCAATGGCAAAGGCTTAGGTTCCTTATACCAGGTGTCTACTTCCAGACCATTGCCTTCCACACTGCTTCACCTTCACACCCCCACTCAAGACCTACCAGTAATTTCCCTGACCATTTTTGTTCCAAGTCCTCTGCTGACCTGCTGACACCCTATCCGAACTTAGAAACACACAAGCTTGGCTCAGTCTTTCTCTCCATCATCACTGACTGGCAGTGTCCAACTGATGAACCGATGAGATCCAGTACACTAGACTTACATTCTCTTTGGGGTTTTTGTTTGTTTGTTTGTTTGTTTGTTTGTTTTTTAAGGACAGGGCACATTTCTATAGCATAGCAGGGACTCATCAAATGTGTATCAAAGTCAACTGAGTTGAGTGAATGAATGATACAACCAGGGAACTGTAGGCTCACAATCCATTGATTTTACTTTTTACTTTTGCCCTCTTCAGTTTGGAAATCTAGTACCAGGAACACAGCCTGTATCTTTTCATCCCTTGGCCATGTAGTACTTATTTTGGGGTGCTAGGAAGGAGCTGAATAGCTAAAGAATTTTTATGGTTTTAGCTATTGCAATGAGGTATTTAGTCCTTTTTCAAGAATGAATTCATGAACTTAATTGGCCTTGGGTTTTGTTTTTAAGTCTGTTTATGTGGTAAATCACATTTGTTGATTTGCATATGTTAAACCATCCTTGCATCCCTGGGATGAAACCCTCTTCATCATGGTGGACTGTCTTTTTAATGTGCTGTTGAATTTGTTTTGCTGGTATATTGTTGAGAATTTTCACATCTATATTCATTGGAGATATTGGTCTATTGTTTACTTTTTTTTTGTTGTGTCCTTTCTTGACTTTCTTGACCTATCAGGATGATACTGGCTTTATAGAATGAGTTATGATTCCCTCCTTTGCAAATGTATGGAAGAATTTCAGTAAGGTAGTTCTAGTAGAACTCATCTGTGAATATGTTTGTTCCTAGGAGAGATTTTTATTACTATTTCAGTCTTTCTGGTAATTATTGATCTTTTCAGGAGTTCCATTGTTTCCTAATTCAAGCTTGGGAGTTTGCATGGCTCCAAAAATTTATCCACCTCCTCTAGATTTTGTAGTTTGTTTATGTAGAGGTTTTCATAGTAGTTTTGGAGGACATTTTATAGCTGTGGTATCAGTTGTATCATCTCCTTTTTCATTTCTGAAAAGCTTATTTGAGTTCCTTCTCTTTTGCTTCTAGTTAATCTAGCTTGTGATCTGTTGATTTTGTTTCTCTATTTTTTACTTTTTTATTTTTACATATACATGTGATTATTAGGTTTCCACTTTTTGCCTTCACAAAATTAAAAAGGCTTCAAATTTAACAACAATAACAACGTTTAAGATAAGGACCAGAAATAAAAACCTTATAAAGGGCTCGGTGCCTGTGGCTCAAGTGGCTAAGGCGCCAGCCACATACACCTAAGGTGGCAAGTTTGAATCCAGCCCAGACCCCCTAAACAATAATGACAGCTGCAACCAAAAAATAGCCAGACATTGTGGTTGGTGCCTGTGGTCCCAGCTACTTGGGAGGCAGAGGCAGGAGACTCCCTTGAGCCCAGGAGTTGGAGGTTGCTGTGAGCTGTGAAGCCACGACACTCTACCCAGGGGGATAGCTTGAGGCTCTGTCTCAAAAAAAAAAAAACCTTATAAAGAATGAATGAAGATAAATACATTCAGAAAAGAAATCAGACAATTGCTACAACAAAGTATTAAGCAATATTAATAGTAATGCAAAAAAAGTAACATGCACATTGTCAAATAAGAGTATGTCTATTATAGAATACTTTGACTCTGAGGTTCAATATGGAGTCATCAATTAACTGATTTTTTTCCAAAATCTCAAAAAATAGACAACTAATATTTATAAATAAAGATAAAAGATAATTTCAAAATACAGATCATACCAAATCTTATAGACAATAGAAAAAGAAAAAATACTTCAAAATCATTCTGCTTAATCTGGATACACCTGATATTAAAATTGGAAAAAATATATTATAAAGGGGAAACTACAAACATAATTCACTTCTAAATGAGGATACAGTACCCTGTATCCTAAACAACATATTAACAAGTTGAAGTAAAAATTAATGTTTAAGTAATGTACTTTACCCAAAATTGAGTCCAATTTTTATAAGAATTAGTCACTATTCTCTTTTTTTTTCTTGTCCTTACCCTTACCTCCTCCCTCCTTCTGTCTGCTCTCCCCTTCCCCCATGCCCCATCATGTCATTAATTGCCATTAATTGTCCTCATATCAAAGTTGAATACATAGGATTCATACTTCTCCATTCTTGTGATGCTTCACTAAGGTTAATGTGTTACACCTACATCCAGGTTAATACTAATGCTGCAAAATCTCCATTTTTTTAACAGCTGAATAATATTCCACAGTATATATATGCTACAGCTTGTCAATCCGTTCCTGGGTTGAGGGGCATTTAGGCTGTTTCCACATTTTAGCGATTGTAAATTGGGCTGCAATAAACAGCCTAGTACAAGTATCTTTATAATAAAAGGTTTTTTTTTTTCTTTTGGATAGATGCCCAGTAATGGGATTGCAGGATCAAATGGGAGGTCTAGGTTGAGTTCTTTGAGGTTTCTCCATACTTCCTTCCAAAAAGGTTGTATTAGTTTGCAGTCCCACCAGCAGTGTAAAAGTGTTCCTTTCTCTCCACATCCACACCAGCATCTGCAGTTTTAAGATTTTGTGATATAGGCCATTCTCACTGGGGTTAAATGATATCTCAGGATGGTTTTAATTTGCATTTCTCTAATAACTAGGGATGATGAGCATTTTTTCATGTATTTGCTAGCCATTTGTCTGTCTTCTTTACAGAAGGTTCTATTCATCTCTCTTCCCCATTAATGTATGGGGTTGTTGGATTTTTTCTTGTGGATTAATTG